GTTGAGCCCATAACCAGCCCGACAATTTCTATGGGTCGGTCCATTTGAACTGGCCGGGCCCGACAGTTCAAAGAACCGCCGGGTAAAAATAAATAAAGAAAGAAAAAAAAAACAACTATATAGTCGGATAAACCGAAACCGACCCAAAGTCGGCGGGCCAAAAAACAATAAATTGAGAATCGAGACCAAACCGCATGGGAACGGTCCGGTTCATAGGCCCGCGCGATTCCGGACCGGTGTCGGTTCGCGGGCCGGACCACGGGTCGGACCGACCCGTGGCCATGTCTAATTCCCTCGTGTTGGATTACTTATGTGTGTAGTCTTTTTTTCCAACGATATAAGCTATTATAAATCAAAAGGCACAAAAGCGCGAATACACAGCAGCCAACGGCTGAAAACACAACAACCAACAGTTGAAAAAGGGGAGGACAGGTCAAAGAACGCCTAGATTACCGGCTAGCAACGCTAGAATAAAAAACACACACTACTAAACTAACCAACAACACAAAACACTAAACCAACTACAAGACTCCAACAGGGTAATACCCGAGTGTCGAACCCCAAAAGGGTAATACCCGAGTGTCGAACCCCAACAGGGTAATAAGGTGACACTCGGACGCACAAAGTGACACTCGGCCTCACAGAGACCAAACGGCCCAAACTAAAAACACAAAAAAGCAAAACCAAACAAAACTACAGCACAAAAAAACACACCCTAAACAAAACAAAACTAGACAAAACAAAGCAACAACGAAGCCCTTCCCACAGCAGAAAGTCACACCGAGCACAACAATGGCAGGGTCGCATCCCAAAATCCTGACTCAGAAATTGCAGGAAACCGCCTAACTGAATCGAAGACCCACGGGTTGGCCCGACCCTCGTCCAGACAAACAACTCCACTGCAACCCGAAGAAAACCCCCCAGCCACTCAGACAACCGAGGCCCCAAGATTGCCGACAAATCCGAACCAAAAAGCATAGCATATCAACTCGACAACTCACCGACAACCTCGACTTATCAACCAGCCCCGACCCTACAATCGCCGACGAGCACTGCAATTGCCGACTACCTCGATCAGAGAACGTCGGCCCGTCACTGTAATTGTCAGCCCCATCACTGTCCCATCCGACGCTCTATTCGTCATCTCCAAATCAAAGCATCTGCACAGCAAACGATTTTTTCTCCAAATGAATGTAGAGTCATTATACATTCAACTTAGTTAGCTGATTTCTTCAATTTTTTTTAATTGTTTTATAACACGACTTATAACTTATTTTGTTAGTTTTTTCTTAAATACTTTTTAAATAAGTATGTTTAAACTATTAAATTATTATTTTAATTGACTTATAAACTAATTCACCAAATAATTTTATAATATCAGCTGATTTTCAATTATAAGATAAAAATTATAGGGGTGGGAAAAAAACTGAATTTTTCTGTACCGAACCGGACTGAAATGGTCCCGTTTCGGAAAATAAGGTTCCGAAAGGTTCTCTTTATTTTTGTCATGTTCCCGGTACCGAACTGTTTTAAACAATGTCAGAATCGGTTTTGAATATTTTTGTCCCGAACCGTCCAGTTTCATTTTTTTCGTACAAAATATTATATATATATATATAGATATATTACTTTATTATTATATTTTATATTAATATTATAGTGTCAATTACATAATTGACAATAAGTCATTTTGGTATTCCTCTATAATAGCGTTCTAACTTTGTAATATAATATATATATATATGTATATATATATATATATATATATAAAAGCTCAATTGTCGAAGCCAAAACTAACTAATCAAGCAAGAAAAGGAAAAAAAGGCTAAACAATGCATTTGGTAATTTGGTACAATACTCGTTTACTACACGGGTAATTGTTAAGAAAATTATTTTTAAATTTAATAATAATAACAATAATTGTTTAAAATTAAATATATGTATTTATTAGACTAATTTGAGGTTTTCATGGAAATTAATGAGCTGATTGAGAGCTTCTAAAATAAATCAAGGTCATATTAGTCAATCAGTATAGCTACAAAAGGTTCCCATACAACCTAAGCGTTATATTAGTCAAATTATTATGAAATTACCAAGTTAGTTTGTCAATATTTTTGGAATGTCCGAACCTATAATTATTATTTAGAATAATATTATTTTTTATCCAAACAAAACTACGAAACATGTTTTTTCGTCAAGTGGGATTTCGAAGCGTGCGAAGCTGCCACTTAAGCTTAGCACATTCTGCAATTATATATAGAAGGGATGTTTATGTTAGATCTTTAGATGTTGGTGAATGATGACTTAAATTTAATGATTTGGTAAGTTATTTATAATGAAATCAATACTCATTTGTAATTTGGTCTAAGTGAATACTTGAATCGGTGTATTTTTTAATCATGAAATCTATATGTTGGTTGTTTGTTTTAAATTTTAATAGAATCAATGATTTTTTATTTAGTTTATATGTTTGTCTTGTTTTAACTCTGTCCCAAACAATACTAATCTATTTGGACGATGCCTCATGCCGGACCAATTTATAGAAATGAAATCGATAGCGAGACACGTCAAATTTTGGACCGTCTCGAACAACGCTCACCCCCTAAAAAATTCACTACCAAGCATAACATAAAAATATGCAACTTATAACTACGCCTTAAAAATTCGTGATATATATAAAATCCGTTATATACTCTCATCACTACACACCCACGTCCCACAAAGAACTCTATCTCTCTCTAAAAATATCAAAAGAAAACACCTAAAAAACGGATCCAATTTTGGATTCCAAACACGTACTGACCTAAAAATAATTTAACAAAAATAAAAAAAAAGCCCAATTTTCTTTTAGCCCCAAAACTGAACAGGAACCCTAACCCTAGCCGCAACCAGCCGCACGTGAACGGAGACCATTCACGCACAATCTCCTCTTTCTTTTCGTTGTCTCTGTATATCTCCTATCCCTTCGTGAAGCAGTAATTTGGATCTGATTGGATTCGTTAATTAGGTTGTATTGTTTTTAGGGTTTGAATTTTTTTGGGAGATGGGATGCTGGGAGGTTGAAGGTGGTGAAATTGGACGTCCGGCGAGATGACAGGTGAAGGCAGATGCCATAGGGGGCGGAGATCCGTGGCCGGCGGCGGGGGCGCCGCGGAATCGGAGAAAATCGACGGTAGACACGATATCCCCAATTTGGACCTGGAATTTACCGAAAAGCCCTCGGGTTCTTCAGAAATGACGAAACTGTCCCCCACGTCCACAGTTGAGCTTGACTTGTACACACAAGCTCGTAAGGCGCTCTCCCTTCGTTCTCCATTTGATTCCGAAGACTCGCAGGCTTCTCCCGCTACGGTATCCGCTGTGAGTTCTCTGCCGAGTGGGGTGTCTCATTTGCTGGGCGGGCATGCGGATGGTCGGAAGCGTCACAAGAGGTTGCATTCGGGCTCGGAGAAGAAGTCTTCGGCTCCGGGGAAGGCTCGTGGGAGCAACATTTGGGTTGAAACTGAGGAGTATTTTCGGGAACTGACCCTCGAGGATGTTGAGAGGCTGGATGGGTTTACGAGTTCTGGGTTTTCCAGCGACGACAAGTGTTTCTCAGTTCCTTATCCTGTCCGTAATGATAATTTGCGTGTTCACTATGACTCATTTAATAGGATGGTCCCAAATGCATCAGACGAGAATAGGGTGGTATCAGACGAGAATAGGGTGGACTTGAAAAAATGTGCTGAGTCGAAAAGTAATGGGGATCTCGAGATTGATGTAAGGACGGCACAAGAAAAGAATGGGGTTGCTTCTGTTGATGTTAATGTAGATGAGGCAGCCTCAAAAAAGTTTCTGATGAAAGAAGAAAGTAATGGACGTAAGAGACTGAAATGTGAGAATGATTCAACTTCGTTTAGTGGTGTAGAGTGGCTTTTAGGATCTAGAAGTAAAATATATTTGGCATCAGAAAGACCCTCCAAGAAGCGGAAGCTTTTGGGGAAGGATGCAGGGTTGGAGAAGCTCCTTGTGGCTCGCCCTGTTGATGGTTTAGAGTCAGTCTGTCACTATTGTAGTTATGGGCACACGGGCGACCCCTTAAATTTGCTGATTGAGTGTTGTTCATGTGGGATGACAATCCATCAGAGGTGCTATGGAGTTCAAGATGATGTGGATACTTCCTGGTCGTGTTCCTGGTGTAAATGGAAAAATGTTGTGGAATTGAGTAAAGCAATGCCATGTATCCTATGCCCAAAGCAAGGTGGTGCACTGAAGCCTGTGCAGAAACGGGGATTTGGGAGTGACTATGAGGGGTCAAAGGTAGAGTTTGCCCATTTGTTTTGTTGCCAGTGGATACCTGAGGTTTATTTGGAAAACACAAGGGTTATGGAACCAATCATGAATATGGATGAATTGAAGGACACAAGACGAAAGTTGCTATGTTATCTGTGCAAGGTTAAACATGGTGCCTGTGTCAGGTGCAGTAATGGTATGTTTTGCAGCTTTCTTATGTTACGGTCGCACATTTGTTTGTTGGAGTGGTCAGTCGGAAGAATTGTGTGATCTGAAACTATTTTTTGTCCCATTTTAGCCCTGTCAAAATCGGGCTTTTCTAAAAAATTAAACTAGCTGACATAAAATATTTCTGTTAGCTTATTGTTAACAATTAAAGTTGGTTTTTAGTGATATTATTTGCTGCTTTGAGATTTCTGTTAACTGTTTGAGAAAGCAAGACTGTAATAGTAAGAGGAGGTGATTGCAGTTATGTGCATTAACTGATGTAGCCCACTGAACTTTTTTGTTATGAGTCAAATTGTTTTCTCGTTCACATTTTAAGCTTTTAGTTACAAATGTTCTGTTCAGATTTGATTTCTTTACTTAACCAGAGTAATTGGCATGCATAAAAAGCATATGTTCTGGCATTATCTCTCCCGAGATATTTTTCAAAGCAAAATTTTCTAAAATTGACTAATTTGGAAATTTTAGACTTTCTAATCAATGCTCCGTTGGATTTTTGGTTCATGGTCTTATTGGCATTTATGATGAAGGGTATTAAACTAGTATTATTATCAATCAATATATGAACAAACGCTAGAAGAAATGATTGTCTAAAGTCGAGAAGGCAGTAGGAATTAACCACACACGACCAATTACTTCATAGAAATGTTTTCACTACTTATTTATGGGCACATGCACCTTTCTAGGTCTATATTCCATTGGCCACTTGGCATTTGTTGATTTTCCAAAACTCAATTTGATATCTATATTGAACGTACCTGCATCCGAGATAGTTTTTTGCCTTGGTGCGTACTTTATTTTTGTATGGCCTGTTGTGATATGTGGAAGTTTAATGATTATACCTGATTGAACGCCAAATTCGAAGATTAGATCCTTAACTTTAGTGCTAAGAGTAAACAAATTGGCTTATACACAGAGTCAAAAATCACTGGAATGATATGTTGTAGAAGTGACAGGAATTCATAACACTCTCTATCGTGTATCTTTTCCTTTTCTGTCTCTAGCAGTGTTGTTATTACCTCATAATGCAGACCGTTCTTGGTATGAATGAGACCTAATATCTTAAGTTTATCTAGCAGCGTTTGCCGTTTTTATCTGATACATCTCTAGCTTATTCTTAGTTGTTTATGACAAGTGTTTTGCTATTCCATCAATTTATTGGTTTGTATTGTTTCTCCAGACTGTGTTTTTGTTTGTTTAATAGCTATTTTCTTAATATGAAGGCGTTTTAGTAGTTTGAGCTTCCTTGCTCAAGATATTATTGTGAAGAGATATTGTTTCTCAAAATATGGACAAATGGTTATTGTTGCTAATTTGTTGTTGTTTCATTTGATATTTGTTAGGATCTTGTAGATTGTCATTCCATCCTATTTGTGCAAGGGAGGCAAGACTTAGAATGGAGATTTGGGGAAAACTTGGATCAGATGAGGTGTGTCCTCATTTGTCATTTAATTTATGTCAAGCTGAAATATACTTATGATGTTTTTAGCCTTGTGGAAATATCGATTTAAAATCAAGGAAGTTGAAAACTTCGGGGATGTTTATTTTAATTATATAAACATTATTTATTTTGATTATTGTAGATTGCTTCTGCAAGGTCCATGTTGTGATTATCAGTCTTTTACGATTTCTAGTGAATCTTTGCATTACCTTTTAGGTTGAACTGCGTGCTTTTTGCACAAAACATACAGAAGTTTATAGTGATAACGGCTCTCAAGATGCTTCTGATATTTCCTTAGCAGGTGATTCTAGTTCCGACGTCATTTAAAATGAAAAGTTAACGTTTTCAATAAATGGATCTCCAAAAATAGTGATAAGTTGGCTATCCCCTTTGAAACAGCTGATCTGGATGTTAGGAAGCTTAATGATATAGTATTGGATGGTGAGGACTTTATCAACAACAGAAGAAATCCGTACTCTCATCCAGAATATGGAGATGCAATGCATCCGGCTGATGGGAATGATAATGAAGATGTTAATGCTTGCAGTGTTCTCAGTCTCTCTATGATACTGAAGAAGGTAGCTTACGATTATTATGTAATACTAAGATACACTATTATTGAATCACTTATTCATCTTCCATCTTCTATAGTTGATTGATCTAGGGAAAGTCAGTTCCGAAGGTGTTGCCTCAGAGATTGGTGTTTCACTGGATTCATTGGACAAGATACTAACTGTAATACTTGAGCTACATTGATTTATTTTCTACTTTCCTGTTTTCAGTTTTGCCCCTTTCCTGATATTGGTTTTCCTTTTCTTTTGCCTCTTTGGATCCTTGCAGGATAATCACATGGTACCAGAGTTACAATGTAAGCTACTTAGGTGGCTGAAAAACCCTGCTCAAATTGCCAATTTACAGAGAACAGTGAAAGTGAAGGTTAGATCACATGGAGCTTCCAAAGACGTGGCTGATGTAGCTGAAGACGGTGATGCTGTTCTAGTAGACGAGTCCAATGTTTCTGATTCTGTTCCAGTCAAATCTGTTCCACCTCGCAGAAGAACCAAAAGCATTATAGGAACTGTGAACGATGAAAAGTCGTGCTCCTCCAACTCCAAGGACAACAATAATGATGAAACAAATGAGGGTGGTGTTGATTCATGTGCTGTCAGAGAAGATATAAATGATCCATCTAACAGGTCTTTGCCTAATGGTACCAAGAAGGTATTGTTACCTTCCCATGATGATGCTTTACGTTGTAGGCTTTTACTAATAGTTAAGTGCCATGATTTCGCATCATTCTTTAAAATATTGAGGCTTTCTATGTTGTAGTTCAAAAATGCACTCTGGGAAATTTATTGCCCACTGCTGCCATGTGTTGGTATTGCATGTGAATGATATTAATCAAACCATCATTACATCTTTCACGAATTATTTAATGGTAGTGAATTTAGTATCATCAATACTTGCATGACAGTTTGACGTGAGTGAGTTGCATCAGTGTTACATATATTATTTTCTTAAAGTCGTGGATCTGGTTTAGTTAGATGTAGCTACATTTCCCATATTGTTTTTTTACCATGCGGTGACCGAATTAGTTTCACTGTGTATGTATCATGCCAGCTTGTTTAGGTATGATTAAAGTTTTTATAGCTTTACCTCTTGCTTTTTATTTTGCAGATTTTGATTGACTACCAGCAGCACCAGGATGATTCAGTGGACAATTCTATCAAAATTGAAGGTGAGCTAGCTGATCAAAAGTGTTAATGAATTGTCTTGGGAGTTAAAGCATTTAATTTTATGCAGTCATTCCAGAAGTTGTAATGCATCCGTTATTAATATGCTTGAAAGCATGCTGATACTTGATTTCCTTGTTGATTTATTACCTTCTTTATGCAACAGACGAGCTGAGAGCTCTAAAGCAGTTTCTATCTGAAGATGGTGGCAGTGATGAATCTGGACTATCTCAACAGCTGACGTCGTGTCCACCCGTCTTGATGTAAGTTTTTGCTAAAACCATACTTATGTATTGTGTTTGAGCATAATTTCTTAAACCAACCTAGCTATTTTAAAACCTTTTAATCCTTTTACGTCAAACGGGACTTCTGTAATTTTTTTCACTCATTTATGCACAATGATCTGTAGAAATGAGGACGCTAATCGGGCTTCATACATACATCCATTTATTTACAGTAAATTGATGCTTGAGAAAAATGCAGCTTGTCAGACCGCAGGTATGTTCCTTTTCTGGTTCTCCTGTCTTTTCCCTGTTTAATTTTGGATGCTCAAGTACTTGATTGGCAGTTCTAAGAGAGCGGGAAGCTTCCCAGTTGGGAGCATCTTCTAGTGCTGGCCTCTGTTGTGACAACGGTAACTTGCAAAGGACTTCTAGTGACCGGACCTCTAAATGCAGTGGTGGAGTGAATATCAATCAATTGTTTGATGCAAGAAATATGGAAATACTCAAACTATCTCCTGCAGATGAAGTGGAAGGACAACTTCTATATTATGAACATCGACTCATTTCCAATGCTGTTTTGAGGAAACACATAAGTGGTCTGTGCATTCTGCTGTTGTCATCTCATCTATTATTTCGTAGCTTGTCATTTTAGCTGTCTAATTTACTCACTGCAGTAAACTCTGTTTTGTTTTGAGGACTGTATTGAATTTATTTTTATTTCTTGTTGCGTCACAGATGATTTGATCTCGAGGGTCGTTAGGAGCCTCCCGCAGGAGATGGATGCTTCTGGAAAACGAAAATGGGATGCTGTACTTGTTAACCAGTATCATCGTGAACTTAAGGAAGCTAGAAAGCAAGGCAGAAAAGAGCGCCGGCATAAGGAAGCTCAAGCTGTGTTGGCTGCTGCTACTGCTGCTGCAGCAGCTTCCTCTAGGTTGTCATCGATTAGGAAAGATACCCCAGAAGATTCTTTACAGCAGGAGGTTATATTGGCCAAGTGTTTTCACTGTTTATAAATTTATTCCCCTTCCATTTTTTTGCAAGTTCATTTATTTATATATTCTATATTGTTTCTTCAGGATACTGTGAAGATGAATGTATCTAATGTGAGGAATGGGTTGCAGTCTCAGCTGAATCCTCGAGTGAAAGAGACTGTTACTAGGCTGGGTATTGCAAGGTCGTCACTTGAAAAGAATACCGATTCAGGCCAATTAGCTTCAGACAATCCAAAAGATCGTCTTCGGACATGTGACATATGCAGACGGTCTGAGACAGTTCTGAATCCGGTTTTAGTCTGTTCAAGTTGCAAGGTTTCTCCAGTTTT